TTAACAGTGGTCCAATAAATCCTTTTGTCAAATAAATATTCAGCTTCAATCTAAAGATATTTGTTTGAGAGAGATGCCAGATTAACTCTTGGTAAATGGTAATTTTTTTCTTCTGTGCAGTTCTATTTTGCAGATGAGTATCATCTGTGTCTTTCATTTTCCTGTTATTTTTGTACTTTCTAATTGCTGGCAGTTTACTCGCACCCTTGTTCAATATTTTTTTTAGATAGTCAGCTGTCAAACATGATGGCAGCACATCTCCAGTTTCAGTACAATATAAGCATATGACTGATCTGTCAAACTAGTGGTTACACTTACATATTTTTTTTAAAAAGCTTCAGTTTGAATTTCATGCACATTTTCCTGCAATCTACTCCATTGCAAAAATATGCCTTCCAAAGTCATAATGAAAGCAAAATCCCAAAAGTAAAAGTGATCAAAGCCTGCAATGGCTTGACAAAAAGCACTGGCACATTTAAAGGCTAATTGATTAACACTAGGTTGGCAAAAGAACTTCAAAGTAGAAATTACATTGCAGAACCAGTTGAAACAGTCAGAAGCTGTTGTCTCCTTGGCAGTGTAGCATTGGTTGACCTATGTTGCTAGCACTCATCCTTCCAATGCCCAGGCCATTCAGCAGTAAGGACCTTCCAGGAGCTGCTTGGGTCATGCAACTTGTTACCTACAATTCAGCATCAGAAGAATCGACTGGCATTTGTTCAGAATAGTGTAAGCAGAGAAATGAGAAGGTCTGTTGGTATACTACCGAAGGCCAGTCTCTTGGCTTGACCGATGCTGAAGAATTCATCTGATTGTATGATGTACATCTGCTTGGTGGCAATGGTGGAAAGTCAACTGAGCTTCTGTGAGCTAGATAAAATGTGAGGAAAGGAAAATAAAGTGCCAAAGGGAAAGGTGGTAAAATGAATACGGTGAAGATCTGAAGAGTTCATTGATGGAACTGGCCAACAGATACATTCTCAAGGCAAGGTGGGGCTTGAAACTGGAAGATATCTCCTTCCACTAGAAGCAGTATAAAAAGGTTGTACAAGAAAATGTCTTTGAAATCATCAGGAGTCAAAGGAAAATGTATCTTATACTCAAATTTCAAATATTTTTTTGGGGGGGACAGGATGACAGTAATATTTTTCTGTTTTTCATAGATAAAATGTCAATTTATGTAGATATACATTGCATTAATGCTATTAGTCAGTGAGAGCAAACACCAGATTTCTATGCAGGTACCTTTGTATTGTTTTGGAGCAGGCAGAGTCTCTAATTTTAAAAAATCTGGGAGCATTTAAGTAAGTTCATTAATCAGTCAGTTAAGTTAGTGCCACTCTAGTACTTGTTGTCTCTCGGTTCCATCAACCGAGTCTTTTTCAACAGTTGCATTGCATTTTATATTTAACAAAGAGCTTTATCTGAAACGTCTTCCAGAAAAGGCTGCAGTTCTGTGCTACTTGAGCCTCAGTGATCAAGTGATGCTGTAACCAGGGTTTGCACTTGTACGTTATCTCAAAACATCCTTTTGGCAATAGCCCTGTATACGTTTACATGGAATTGCCATTTTCTAGGCAGCTCTTTCAGAAAACATATCTGCCTTATTTCTGAAAGGATGGCCTGTCCTCCTGCATCTCATCTCCCAAGGCCCCCTTGTAGCAATAGGATAGCTTGCTTACAAAAAGCAGCCCAAGTGCAGAATTGCCAATACACTGCAGTGTTAAAGTCATTGGAAATTTGCCTTGATAGTGAGCATAGAAGCAAGGGAAAAGATTAAACTATTTAGGGTAAATCTTGATTAGCTAGCAGTTCTTTGCAAGCTTGTTCGACCCACAAATGGGTAAACATACCTGTATGCAAAGTTTCTCTGTATTCAAGTAGATACAAAAACAATTTTTATTAAAAAATTTACAAATTTGATACACTTGAAACCAGATTCAGAAGAAATGGAAAACAAAAAGACTAAAAATCTCAAGTAGCTGAAGTAAAACCACTGGTTGACTATTGTAGTTCAGTGGTATTTGTCATCATTGATGTCTGTCTTGGACTTTTCTGGTCCTACAAAAATGGCAGAGATGAAACTTTCTCTATGCAAAGAACTGTTCTACAATTACATTTCCCTTACCTATTGCAATTTGTATCAGAATTCTCCTTAGACACAAAGACCACAGTTGGTGGGTATCTTGGGAGATCATTTGGTACCTCACTTGTCAGTGCAGAACCACTAAAGCAGAGGTGGTGTTCAGCAGGTTCTGACCAGTTCTGGAGAACCGGTAGTGGAAATTTTGAGTAGTCTGGAGAACTGGCAAATACCATCTCTGACTGGAGATTTTACAGTATCCTTCCCCTGCCATGTCCCACCAAGCTATGCCACGCCCACCAAGCCACAGAACCGGTAGTAAAAAAAATTGAATCCCACCACTGCACTAAAGGAGGATTTTTCCATTCTTGTAACTTTATTGAAATCAACAGAAAGCTAGCAAGCGTTAAGAGTTTTGAAATTTGGGCTAAATCTAGAGATTAAAAATGTTTGAAATGTAACAAGTAACTTATGCCTGCTCCATTCCCACACATATTATCCCCACAGCATTCCAGTCAATCTCAATCTCTTTCTCTCTCTCCCTCCCTCTCCCTCTCTCCCTCTCTCTTACACACACACAAACAAAGAACTGATTAATATAGAGCAAACATTGGATTCTGAAAACTTTTATCAATTGGCCTTTTTATTGACTGTTTCTTCAGAGGACATTATGAAACAAAATACTTAAGTTATATAGTTGGGTTATTATGATTAATTTCCCTTATTTTCCTGGAGACTCTTGAAACCTTTTTATTTCACCTGTTAGATTGCTAGCCTACAAAGCAGTGCAGAAAATTAGATGTGAAAATATCTGTGCCTCTAGCACAACTGGCAGAGTAGAGTGTTAATGTGATGAATTCACAGAAGAAATTGCCCTAGAACAGCAATGTAGACCAGCACTATGGCCCAAAGGAATCCAAACCATGACCAAATGGCACAGTGATGCTGTCGCCCAAAATATAACACACAAGGAATAGATGGGAGAGAAACTGATCTGAAACAAGGCTTTCATTACAAAATTCCTGGTTTGGCTATTCTTTGAGTGTAATAGAAAGCAACAATTCACATTGTTAATGTGTCCAAATACAGTCAGGCCAATATTTTACCATTAATATATCAACAGAAAACGGCCTATAAAGAAAGCTCAAAAGACACCAATTTCCCCAGGTAAGACTGAGTAATTCATGCAACATGTTAAACTGCCCAATGGACAAACACACTGGTATCCAACTTTTCTTTAGGCAGCAATCCAAGACATCTTCCTGAGAGGCCAGCATATACAGGAGAAGTTCTGTTAATGTAACATCACATGATAGGCCACAGCCAAAAGTTCCTGGGCCATTTATTTGTTGGTGGATTTAGTGGTTTGGATGTGTTTAAGGAAGTGTACAACCATTGGGAGGTAAATGCTTCAATTCCATTGTATTGTTCAGCAAAAAACTAGCTACCAAAATTCAGCAGCTCGGCATAAAAGAGACCCCAAATGAGGCATGGTAGACATATGGCTAGAGACTGCTTACTCATAGCCTAGCACAGTACCATATGTAGACATAACCATAAAGTAACTGCTTTGGGTACAGTAACACTATGTGTCCTAAGCCTAATAAATTGGGACAGAGTGGAAAGTTCCTACTAACCACTCTGGTTTTTTAAATATAGGAATATTATCTTTTTGTTCAAACACATTGAAATATGCAATCACTTGGCAAAACTTTTCTTCATAGGAATAGATCATTGTAAAAATGAATGAGAAATGAGTCCCATGCATTTTCAAAATGGAAAAAATGGAAAAACAATCAAATGAAATCCAATTAATTTCCATTTGTCATTCATTTTCAATTCTCCTACATTAGATTTCTATTCTGGACCACAGTTAATTGCTCACATGAGATACAAGTAAGGGAAGAAACAGGCTATACAATGAAACTGAAAACCTATCAAACTTGAGTAACTGGTTGAGTTTGAACAACTTTTTAAATGGTTTGTTAACCCACCCACCCCTTTTAATCCATCTGAAAAGTGACAGGTCTGATGTCCTGTTTTAACAAGGGCCTGTTTTATAGCATTTTGCGCTCATTCACCAATACCGGTATATAAAGGCAATACAGTGGGGTTGGTAAATGAATAAATTAATAAGGAGAAACAAAATGGTTAAGTTTTAAAAGAATGGAAAATCAAAAAAGTTTAAGCATTAGAATGGTATGAGAAAAATGTCCTTCCTTGCTCACCCACTGCAGTCAAAAAGTTTTTATCAAGCAACATGCCCTTGGTGGGGATCAGAACTGCAGATCATGATGGAGCAGAAAGACAGGCAACATTATTCCCTCCTTATGGGTCACAACTCGGACTCCGACAGTCCTTAGCTCCAGCCAACACGATCAAGGGCCAAAAACAACTATGAATCTGAAGTCTAACTCATTGCTTCTGAAGATGCCCCATTGCTCCTTGCTGTAGGCGAATCAATGAAGGAAATGGTACTATATCAAAACCAACTGACATTAGACAACAGGATTTCATAACATATTGCATTTTTCATTCCAGATCAAGAACTTGGTATAGAAACTATTCAAGCTCTGGTCATTTTGAGATGTTAAGTACTGTAACCTGCATATGGTATCAACAGGACGGCCAAACCTTGCTTACCAATAGTTCTGTCACAGGCACAAGGAAAATGGCTCTGCAAACAACCTGCCATTGAGAATGCATAGGCTGATATACAGTATTTATCCAAACAGAAAGCCTCTCTTTTTTTTGTATCTTCAAATTCAAGTCTAGTGTGTACAAGTCATTGAAAAAGGCACAGTTTTGTTTATAATATGTATAAAAAAACAGTTCCAGCAAAGTTATTGAAATTCCATTCAACGTAACACAAGGCCTTCATTTTTACAAGTTATTACATTTGTTTTTTGTGGAAAAAAATATACAGATATAATATAAAAAGTCATATTCTAGCCACAAAACACACATTGTTTGAAAAGCAACAAATTCTAATACTCTAATAATTCCAGGCAATAAAACAAGCTATATAAATATACAAGGAAAGAGTCAGGCTTAAAGTTGTATGTAAAAATCCCTTTTACCATAGCATTATTTCCAATATTAAAAACTGACAAGCACGTATTTCTTTTTCCCCATCACTAGCAAGTTTTCCAGTAAAGACAGCAACTGTACCTCTCAATTAGAAGTCCTAACTTCAAATTCTGGCTAAATCAGGAATACAGAAATAAATGTGGCCTTTATTTTAAAATTCCTAAAAGTAAATAATGAGAATACAATAGTTTGGTGGTGGGGAGATGAAGACAACTAAGAGTCACTTGCTGATACAGTACATTATTTCACTTAATCAATTTAAAATCCAAGCCAAACTTGAAAGGGGTTCCTGAGTTATTTTTGGGAGGGGGGAAAATACAGTGATGGTGCTGTGAATTTGACAGATGAAAGGTCCTGAGTGACTACTAAAACAAGGAATGCTTTAGCAGTTTTTAGAAACTGAGCAACAGGATTCAAATCACAGGAATTTAATGGAGAAACATCTCTCCTGAATCCTGGAAGCCGAAAACAAACAAAACAAAAAGCTACTGAACTTTGCCATCTGTGGTTTTAAATTGCTTGTAAATTCTTTGGACTCTTCTTTTGGGATATTTGACAATTAGTGTCTATATAAAAACATGAATCTTTTTTTAGAATATCAGGGAACAGTTAGTTAAGCTCAAGCGAGGAATACACAGTTGCACAGTGACAAATTTGGATTGCCTAGGAAACAACAGCCAGAGGATTTTCAGATTTCTACTTTAGCAATTATCCATTTCTTTTATAGACTATATTCCCGTAGTGTGTCCTAACCACAATTAATAAAACCTGGAAAAAAACATTCTATACCTCACATTTAAACAAAAGAGGATTTTGAAAAATGCAACACCCACAGCAGGCAATGATTTAAACAAACCAGGGCAGAAGATTTATGCATTTCAGCCCTATTAACCTGAACAAGTTTCCAAAACATTTGATTAAATATTATGTTGTAAAATAGTCACCAAGTAACATTGCATTGTTTTGCGTAATTGACTTTAGACAGCACACCAAGAAAAAACATACTCTCTAGCTTGGCATAACAATAAGAAGGAATGTTTCATTTTATCTAAGTGTGGCTCTTTGCCACACTGATCATCTTTGTGTTTTTGTATTGTTTCCTTTGTCTGTGGAGATTAGGTGTAACCTGAAACCAATAAAACTCAACACTGAATCTATACTCAATCTATAGCCATCTTGGAACTGACTTTAAACTGCAAGTCTCAAACTTGAGATATCTGGCGTAATTTTGGAACTTTCTTACTTCCTATTCCATTTCTGTAGCTTCTTGCCTGATTGAGAGTCCTAGAAAATTGGGTTAAATTTCAAATGGTCTTTAACTATCAGCAAGTAATAGATTTTGGATTTTCCCTCAAAGGATCATTGCTTTTTTTTTGAAAAGTGTATTCCTGTTCTTCAAAATAGTCTTTCCCAAACTGGATAGTAGGTATATTGGTCTACAATTCCCATCATTTAATTATACAAGAATAGGACGACTGGAACACATACTCAAAACCTGGTTTGCCCTCTTCTTCACTTGTAGGTCTATTACATTCTACAAAGGACCTCTGTTGCACAGGAAACTGATAAACCATACTAAAACAGAGATTTTGAAAACTATATAGAAAGATATTAGGTTACACATTTTTCCTCTTCACCTTCCTTCTACTGCTACATAGAAAATCAATTCCATATTAGGAATATAATGCCATTTAGGCCACTGTATTTTGATGGTTGTGTTACTATTTTAAAAGACAATCTACAGTATACACAGATCATTGCAAGTGTATGGGTGACCCTGAGAAATTCTGTAACTACAAGAAGGCTGAAAGATGCCTTGTATCTTGGCTGTAAATACGAATATAAAAAACAAACAAACCCATCCATACCTAATAAAATTTATAAAGTCTGTCACAAGGAGGCAAAGAGGCACAATCACACAAACATTACTACACATACTGTATATGTTTACTAGCTACAAACAAAACATTGAAAAGGCATTCTGTGACACTGAAACCAAAGTGGTTTTCAACTGAATTGTAACACTCAAGTGATTGTGTAAAAACAACTCACGAGCATCCTAAGACAGTTCTCACCTTCATTGTCTCACAATAGTTAACAAATATTATTTCTGGGGAGAAAAATGCAAAATACTCTCAGTAATTATACTGACGCTGGCAAGGCTGGTGAACAAAAAATCCGCTGCTCTTGAGTTGCCGTGTGTAGGGATCCCTGGTGAGATTTTGGCGACGGAGATAGTTTCTGTTCAAGGATTGTCTTTCGCTGAACTCTTTTATCCACTGGGAAGGACGAAAACTCTTGGTACTTTGTTCAAGAAAAGTTGAATGAGCAGCAAGTGCAGCAATGTAGCATTGGACGTGTTGGCCCATTTTGCTTTGGGCTTCAGATCTAAAATTCCAAGCACAAGGATGGAACTGATAGCACTGGCTATAGAGCAAGGACTCAGGCACATGGCAGAGTTTTTTCCATAGGTAACCACAATAACACGTGACACAACGAACCGTAAACTAGTCAATCACATTCCAAGCGAATATGTCAGCCCAACTAATGCACAGGTAGTCCTTGACTTCCGACCATAAAGGAGCCGTTGTGGCTCATCACTTGTGATAGTCATAAATTGAATCGCCCACATGACCAACCTGATTTTATGACTTTTTTTTGCAACAGTTGTTAAGCAAACCAACCGTTTGCTATGGCCTGGTTTTGCTGAAAACCAAAAGTAAGTGCCATATTTGACAAAACCATCATAAAACATAGTCACATGACTGCAGAACATTGCAACAAACAGCTATAAATGTAAGCTTGTTGCTGAGTGCCCAAAGTGCAGTAATGTAATCGGACCAGGGGGAGGGGTTGGCCATCAAAACTTTGATCCCAGTTATAAGTAGCCCCAGGAAGGTCCATCATAACTTAGAATGGTTGCTAAGTTAGCGGTTGTAAGTCAAGGACTAGTAGTTACTTGATGGCTCACAGGGCAAGCACGTGCAGTTAACCTGGGTTAATACTGTAAGTCCTCTTTAATTTAACCAAGGCCCAAAGTCTGTGCAAATCCAACCTAGTTGGATTTTCATTGATCACTGAAATGCAGTGAATAGCACTTTCCCCAAAGTGATATGAAAGTACTGTACTTCTTTCCTCAAAGGAATTTGAGGAAAGCCTTTGGTTGCATGGTCAACTGCCCATTTTCTGTAGGAGAAAGGGAGTGGAAGATTGAGGTGATTAACAGGGCTTCAAGTAAAAGGCAATTCCTTCTTCTCTATTGAGGAGCTCTTGATTCACCTGTCCTGCATTGGGGGAAGGGATCAATCTTTTATCCAATTACTGCCCCTTCACTTTCCCTCTTCTTTCTCCTCCAAATGTTAACTTGTGTAGCTGTCTGCAGTTTACCCTGCTGAGAAATATGAATTTCACTTAATGCGCGTAAAACCATTTTGCAACAGAAGCAGTTCTGATGACAAAAAGGTATTGGAGAAGTTTGTGAATGAGCATTGACAAGGCACAAGAAAATCAAGTTACTGTACAATACAGTTACTGAATGATGCACAGAGCAAAAATTTCACATTTCAGGTCGATGCTAGTAAGATTAAGATGGCACTGACTGAGAAAGGGGTCTTGGAATCCTGATGAGTAACCTAAATGAAAATACCATCCTAATATAAGGACGCTGTCAAAAATGTGAGTATCATACTTCAAAATATTAAGAATATCTCTGGTCCTCAAAAAGGAAACTGTAAAGTTGTGGGAGGAGCAGAACCGCCTAAGAGGCTAACAGAGATGACAAGCTCCTCAACAAGAGAGACTATGGTATCTGGAATGTTTCAGCTTAAAAAGATAGAAATGGAGTAAAATAGTAAAAATAAATGAAATCAAGCATATTATGGAAAATGTGCCTACAGGATAGATTTTCTCTATGGGTATTTAATGGCACCAATGCAGAAAGAACAAAACTATTAAAAGGAATTAGTTCCTTACAGTTTAACTATGGAGTAAATTGCCATCAGATCTGGCAACAATGACCAATTTAGATCTGTTGAAAAGAGGATTCTGCAAAACATGAATAATCCAGCATATTGTCTCTTGAATCATTAGCAGCACAACTTACAACCTAACGGCTAGAAGAGGGGAGAGGTCAATTATGTTTATATGCTATTAATAATTTTCTTGAATATAGATCATTGGCTACTATATTATATATTAGTTTTGAACTAAGTCCTTAGCCTGATTCAGGAAGGTTCTTTTGTCCATTCACTCCTTTTTCAGATCTGAATGTATTTACATTTGCTACTTTTATTAACAATACTGCACCTGTGGATTATCTTAATAAAGGCAGCTGGACTTTCTTATAGTTTTTTTCTTGAAAATGTTTTACTTCTCATCCAAGAAGCTTCTTCAGCAAAATGTTTTCAATAAAAAACTAAGAAAGTCCAGTTGCCTTTTGAAAAGCACCCTTGAACAATCATGACCTGGATGATTGAGAATCTCCGCAGTCATGGAAAAGAAGCAATAATATGGAGCAAAAATGGACATCTCACCTTAATTTCAGTGCACTATACTGAGGTTTCACCTCCAGTGTTCATATCAAAAAGGTGCTTTTTTTTTTCCTTTCAAAGGGCAACTGGACTGTCTTTGTTTTTTCCTTGAAGACTCATCCAAGAAGCTTCATTGGTTCTGGAAGACGATGAAGTTTCTTGGATGAGAAGCAAAACATCTTCAAGGAAAAAGCAAAGACAATCCAGTTACCTTTTGAAAGAAAGAGAAAAGCACATTTGAGACAACCATGCCCTGGAAGACTAAGAATCTCCATAGACACGTCCAATACTTATATTTATGCCCTTTTCTGAGTGAATGATGGAAGACTAAAACTGAAGTGTCACTGGACCATATCTTATGGGCCATATCTTAATAGGGGACTCGCCTTCAGCTCCTGATCTCATCTATCTATTTCTCATCTATCTGTCTCAGTGCTTTTCTTGCTCGCTTCTGTTATCTGGTTACAAGCAAGCAATAACAAAGGCATTGATACCATACAAAGAAGCTCAAAGAAGAGGACAAATGATGGACAGTGATGGAGAGGCAGAGTGGGGGGAGCAAGCATTCTGCTCATAGCATCATTCACACCACTCATAATAATTTTCCATGCTGTCTTAATGCAATTTTCCCAATTTTTTCACTTGGTTACTAGCACCCCTACATTTTTCCTGAATCAAATAAGAGAACATACCTATGATTGCTTTCATCGTGGGACTCTACTTCCTCCTCCTCTTCCTCTTCCTCCTCCTGTTCTTCCTTTTCATCACAACTGTTCTTGTTGAGGTTGTGACAGGTATTATGGATTGCGTATACAGACATGCTGGGATGTTCAATAAGCAGATTTTCCAGTGGGCTGGTTTCTACTTTGAGAGTGGTTAAACCACCTGCTGTAAAACACGGAGGGGGAGTGATGAACCAGCTTTCTTCCATGGAGCACGAGTCTAATTGGATGAAGCAGGATTCACTGGCATCTGCCAAGCAGTCCAAGGAATCAGACAGACAAGAGAAGATGGGCGAGTGGTCATCAGGAGGTGGTTTGCAGATGTTATCCACTTCCTCCTCCTCTTCATCAACAGTAGAAAAGTTTGAACAGGAATCTATCAGGAATTACAACAGAGGGCCTAGTTATGGAAGGTTAATTTATAGCCACAACATATACATTGGTTACAGAATTTATATATAGCCTTGCAACATCAAAAATAATCAAACAGTTGTTAAGTATTATATATAATACATTCCATCAAATTAAAAATAATACTCAGAGAGTAAACTGGCAATTAATACCTATATCCATGATGGCACGCAGAGCCATTTGTGCTGGCATGTGAGCTGCAGGCAAACTTACCTCACTGCACATGCCTGTACCTCATCGCTGATTTTTTTTCCAGTTAGTTTGAGGCCTTTTTCGGCCTCCCGAAAAGTCACTTTTTGTCACTTCCTGTAATACCGGAAGTGATGAAATGGGCCTATAATTCGGCCTGAGAAGCCTTGCAGAGGCTTTTTCCAAGCCTCTGGGAGGCCGGAAAAGGCCTCAAACCAGCCAAAAAATCAGCTGTGAGGCACAGTGCTGGTAAGGGGGTGGGGATTGTGCGCGCATGCGCAGGGGGCATGGGGAGGGGTGCGCGCATTGCATTCTGGGTGCTGGTACGAGTACAGGCGTGCTGGTGCGCTCACAATTTTTGGCACAGGAGCCCAAAAAGGTTTGCTACCACTATATTGTTTTCTTCCTCACATCATCCATGTTTAGCCTGATATACTGCCTGAATATAAAGAACTTTTTGGTTTAACTGACCTATATCTTACATTTTATATGTGTATATGTAGAGAGAGAAAAACAGGAATCGCAGTAATTTAGTTTCAATACTTATAGGATTGAAAATTTCATTTCCTGTAGTTGAGGAAGGTACATGAGTATTATCCCCTACTATGGATAAGAAGAATTTTCACACCAGTGTAAACATTTGAACCAAAAGCATGCAGTAGCTATCTCCAAACTGGGTGTCCTGTTGTGTTTGGAGGAGTGGGCGCAATAACGGAGACAAGGCATAGGGTAGTGACTCAACTCTTTAATAGTGACTTCAGAACAGAGCAAACACTTGGGCAGCAGCAGCTCTTTTATAGAGCTGGCTGCTGCCGCAATAACCAATGGGAACGAGTTTAACCGCGCTTAGTCTTCCAATCAGGGATGGCCGCTGTCAGCCAATCAGGTTAGCCGAAGGCAGCCAATCATGATCGCTTACTTGCGGACCAATCCGAACTGCAGGTTTACGAGCCTGCAGTTGGAGCGGAGCTCGAAGAGTTTTTAATAACGAGTTTATTTAGTTAGTTCGTAACACCCCTCCCCCTAGGTTCCGTCTGAGGGGTGGGGTGACGTATTCTCGCAAATAGGCAGGCCGTTTCACCTGCCTATTCGATTTCTGCTGTTCTACCGGTTTCCATTCAGGTTCCAGTGGATCGTTTGTAGAACCGGGTGGTGACGACGGTTCCACTGTCTCGCTGGGTGAATCAAGGCTGTTTTCTTGGTTGTTTTCTGGGTTCTCTGGGCTTGCTGCCCTGACTGGGCTGCTATGTGGCGAGGCCATCCCTTGGCTCGGGCTTCCGTCGGGTGGTGAGTATCCCCTGGCTGGTTGTACCGTCTGCTGGGCTTCGCTGATTGGGTCCTCTGTTATTTCTATTTCGGCCCCCTCGTCTTCCCCTCCCCCCCCATTGGAAAATCAGGGGGTGAGAGAGAGTTCGGCGCCAAACGGGAACGAAGTTGGTCTATATGGCGCTTCCACAGCTTGCCGTCATTAGTCTGCAAACGGTACGATCTGGGGCCTGTTAGCTGCGTGATGGTAGCGGGGACCCACAATGGGTCAGCCAAGAAGTTTTTCGCAAAAACTAAATCGCCTACCTTGAACGCACGACACTTGCTGCTGGAACCGCAAGGTTTTTCTGGCGTGTAGGTTGGGTGTAGGCGATTGAGGTGTGAGCGAAGTTTCCGGCCCATTAAGAGTTCGGCCAGGGTTCTGTTCATGGTGCTGTGCGGCGTGATGTGTTGAAGAAGAAGCATCCTGTTTATCTTGTCATCAATATCGCCATGTTCCATTTTGTGCAATGTTTTTTTAATGAATTGTACCATACACTCGGCCCTGCCATTGGCCGCAGGGTGAGCCGGCGAAGTTAAGGCATGGCGGATGCCCCGGTCCGCTAGGTATTGCTCGAATGCAAGGGCAGTGAACTGGGGGCCATTATCCGAGACTAAAACGTCCGGCAGTCCGTGCGTAGCGAATAGTCTATTTAACTTTTTAACAACGGCTTCTGTTGTAGTGCTTTTCATTTTGTGGACTTCGAGCCAGTTTGAATAGGCATCCACCATTATTAGAAAAGTGGGTCCCTTGGTGGGTCCCGCAAAATCAATGTGGATGCGGGACCAGGGGCCACGAGGTGGATCCCATTCAGTTGGCGGTGCCTTCGGTGGGGCAGCGCTGATTTCCTGGCACTTGTTGCATGTGGCCACCCAGGCTTCTATTTGTTTATCGATACCTGGCCACCACGTGTAACTTCTCGCTAACGCCTTCATCCGTACAATGCCTGGATGACCGTCGTGCAATAGTTTTAGGACGCTGTGTTGTAATTTTTTAGGAATGATGACTCTGTCTCCCCATAAAACGCAGCCCTTCTGTGAGAACAATTCCGTTTGTCGGTTTTTAAATGGTGTGAAGATGTTGTCGGGTTCGTTGTCAGGCCAACCTCGTTCTACCCAGCTGAGGACCCGAGCCAATGTGGGGTCCTTCTTTGTTTCCGCTGTGATCTCTCGTGCAGTCAGGGGTGGCGAAGGGAGAGTTTCGATCTGGAGCGCAGTAAGGGTTGGAGCTGGATCGTCTATGGCTTCCAGCAGCGGAGAATGGCTCAAAGCGTCAGCGTGGGGAATGGCTTTCCCCGGGCGGTGTAGCAGTTGATAACCGTATGCAGCTAGAAACTCTGACCAACGGGTCATCCTTGGTGATAAGATGTGGGCAGTAGGCTTGTCCCCCGCTAATATGCCAAGCAATGGCTTGTGGTCGGTTATTATAGTAAACGGCCATCCATAGACATATTCATGAAAACGTTTAATAGCGGCTACAATAGCAAGAGCCTCTTTATCGAGTTGGCTATAGTTCCTTTCAGTCTTTGATAATGTTCGGGAAAAGAAAGCAATAGGTGCCTCATTGCCGTTTGGTAGAACGTGGCTTAAAATGGCTCCCACCCCGAACGGCGAGGCGTCACACGTGACAGTTAAAGGCAAAGTCTCGTTATACTGCATTAATACAGCGTCGGAGGTCAAGAGATCTTTTACTTGCTGGAACGCTCGTTCTTCCTGTTGTCCCCAGACCCAAGAAGCTTTCTTGTCTAGCAGACGATGTAGGGGCTCAGCTACAGTTGCCTTCTGGGGCAAGAAGATATTATAAAAGTTAATGAGTCCCAGGAAGGCTTGGAGGTCCGTTTTATTCCTAGGTCTGGGGGCGTTTTTTATGGCTGTTACTTTTTTTTCGGTAGGATGAATTCCCTTTTTATCAAGGAGGTGCCCCAGGAATTCAACCCTTTCAGTACAAAGTTGACACTTGTCTTACTTTACCTTTAACCCGGCGTTTTTGAATTTTTGGAGAACTGCTCTGAGTCGGGTCTCCAACACGTCTCTATTGGGGGCAGCTATCAAGACATCATCGAAATAAGGCACGACCCCTTTTATGCCTTGCAGCAATCGCTCCATCAGGCTTTGGAAGATGCCTGGTGCTACACTCACGCCAAACTGGAGCCTATTACATTTAAACGCACCTCTGTGCATGACGATAGTTTGGGCCTCAGCAGTCTCTGCATCTACGGGTAGTTGCTGGTATGCCTGGGCTAGGTCCAATTTTGCAAAGATCTTTCCGCCGCCCAGGGAGTGAAGAAGATGTTGAACCACCGGTACAGGATAAGCGCTTTGCTGAAGCGCGTGGTTTAGGGTGGCTCGGTAATCCCCACAAATTCTTATTGATCCATCCGGTTTTATGGGTGTTACAATCGGGGTTTCCCAACGGCCGTGATCGATTGGTTCTAACACACCTTGGGCTATCAATTTGTCCAATTGTTCATCAATCTTTGGCTTGAGTGCGAAAGGCACTCGACGAGGCTTAAGGCGTATGGGCGCAACATCGGGGCTGAGGCTAAACGATATGGGGGACCCCTTGTACTTGCCTAGCTTCTCTGTGAATACGTCCTGGAACTCCTGGACGAGGGCGGCTTCCCAGTCACTGCTCCCGGTCTGGTGAATGCCGGCTAGTTCAATCCCCAGTGGAGCGAACCACTGTAAGCCCAACAAACTGGGCCAGTCTCGATCGACGATGGTAAGAGGCAGAGTTGCGGTGTGGTCTTTAAAGGAGACCTGGACGTGGCGGGACCCGGCAACGGGAATTCGGTTTCCCCGATAGTCCCTTAATATGACTTTCTGGGTGCTGAGGTCTTTACGGCGGATGTCAGGGATTAGCTGTTTGAAAGTCCTCCACGAGACCATTGATAGGGATGAACCCGAGTCTACTTCCATTATGCATGGACGATTCTCAATGGCGACGCTCACTCGGATCTTCCTTGCATCCAAGGATGAGGCGTGACCGATGGTAACGGTTTGATGCGTCTCTTCTCGTCTAGCTGACGCAGCAGGCGCTCAATTTCTGTAGTGATAGTGGTTCCATTGGTGATTCAGGCGATCCCGGTTCACGGGCGGGCTGCCCGTAGCTTGGCGGGAGTTGTTCTCTCTACGGATTGGACTTGACCCCCGCTTGCTCCTGCAGACCTTTGCGATATGGCCCCTCTTTCCACAGGAACGGCAGAGTGCATCGAGGAATTTGCAATCAGCTTGCAGGTGATTTGCCCCACAACCAGCGCATTGACGCGAAGGTTTTTGGTCTCGCTGGTCGCGCTCTGACCTGAGTCGGTTGACCTCTTCTTCCTCACTATCCGATGGGAGTTCGAGGTCTTCATGGTACGCCGTTGTTGAGTGTTTTTCTGGAAAAGGCGAAGTATCATTGGTGAGTTGACGGAGCGGTGCGTTGGTGCGGCGCATTCGAGCGGCCGACTTTCTGGTTGCCTCTGCTGCAGTAGCGTCAGCGATGACATCTGCAAGATCGATGTCCCCTTTGGCCATGATTTTGCTCTGTGTCGTGTGGTCATCTAATCCCAGAACTATGCGGTCTCGCATAGCTTCTTCGAGGTTTGAGAAACCACAGAGTCCACCCAGGTTCCGGAGGTCAGCGATGAAGTCTCCAACGCTCACGCCTTTCCGTTGGTCCCTCTGGTAAAATTCGTGTCTTCTGATGAGGGTTGGCACCGCGGGTGCATAATGGGCCCGAAGAATAGGAGCGAGGTTATCCCAATCCATTGACTTAACCTCTACAGGCTTTGCAAGTGCCTTAGCCATTTTGAAAATGGCAGGCCCGCAATGGGTCAGGAAGACCGCTCGTTTCTTGCCAGGCGAAGCGTCCTTCAGGTTGTTGGTCTCCAAAAACATCTGGAACCTGTCCATATACGAGTCCCAGTCTTCGTTAGCCGGGTCAAATGGAGCGGGTGGTATAGCGCTGCTGGCCATCTTGCCGTTGTTGACGCGTGCTCAGTTGGCTCTATTGTCTCCGAATCCCATCCTCGTCGCCAGTGTTATGTTTAGAGGAGTGGGCGCAATAACGGAGACAAGGCATAGGGTAGTGACTCAACTCTTTAATAGTGACTTCAGAACAGAGCAAACACTTGGGCGGCAGCAGCTCTTTTATAGAGCTGGCTGCTGCCGCAATAACCAATGGGAACGAGTTTAACCGCGCTTAGTCTTCCAATCAGGGATGGCCGCTGTCAGCCAATCAGGTTAGCCGAAGGCAGCCAATCATGATCGCTTACTTGCGGACCAATCCGAACTGCAGGTTTACGAGCCTGCAGTTGGAGCGGAGCTCGAAGAGTTTTTAATAATGAGTTTATTTAGTTAGTTCGTAACATGTCCCTCTATCCTTATCAACTTCAGCCAACATGAGCTCTAGGATTGCTTTGGCCTAGCTGCCTATCAATCTGCTACCAAGTTGGAGAAAGCAGCCCTTGAGAATTTATCCTTTTGTTCAATAACAACTGAGAAAACTGGAACAGGGACAAGAAAGAATGAGGAATGGCCAATTTTCTGCTATAATCAATTGTTGAGGCACAATGAAATTGTGCTAGTTCTGAAAAGGTGGGCTAAACAGCTTGAAGTTATATTGTTTTCTTCCTCACATCATCCATGTTTAGCCTGATATACTGCCTGAATATAAAGAACTTTTTGGTTTAAAATCTCTCATTTAGACAACTCTGTTTCAAAGATATCTTACCGATAAAGTCTACCAGAATCCACTCTTCTTCTTCTTCTTTCTCACTGAACTCTGGTTCTTGGCTGGGCAAATTACTGAGTTCTCCCACAAACATATTATTCAGCCTCTGGAACATCACTAAGATGTTTTGTTTGTGCCCACAAAATGAGGTACCACTCCACAACGTACCAACCAAAGTTTAAGGGTGCAGGTAGAAGATTAAAGTGCATAAAAACTTTTATCAGCTGAGGCACTGGATGCAGAGAGGCATGGTTTGTAAACAGTTGCTACAAAAACCTGCAGAGAAGACAATAAGAAAGCATAAGTTTAATGCTCTATGCAAGCACAAAACACATCATGAGGTTATGTATGTATATGTAACCATATATAACTGACACACACACGTGTGTGTATTCTTGACTTATCTGAAAATGGCAAATCTCACTCTAGTTTTAATACACCACTGCCCATGATAGTGTTGTATATGTTGTGTTTACCATGGCATGGTATAACCAGGCAAGCCTGCTGAAGAATTCTGAGTTAAAACCAGGATACCAGTTCAGAAGCTGCCACGGACTCAACAAAGTTCCCTGGATCTGTTTTTGGAGTTCTCCTAAAATTAAAAACCAGAGAAGTCTGCCACCTCTGGTGCTACGGGACTTCCACAGGACACTATAGAAAAGGAGACCTCTCCTTTTGCCATCAGCAACATATTTACATTGTCAAATATCTCCTTTCCTATATTGGCTGCCTTGCATATTGTATTCCCCAATCTGGCTGCCTTCAAATATGCACCAGTCATTTCCCAGAATTCTCAGCAGTAGCCACCCTGGCTGAGGAATCTGGATTTGGGAAATCCATTCATCTAAAACACCCAGGTTGGTCACAACTATGCTAAGCATAATGAGAACTGTTTGGTATTGGCTTAGTCCAGACACTATTCCATGGATTGCATTCATTTTAAAGATTTTCATGAATGCTGTGACTCTGTCATTAAACTTCAGCACCCAAAATTATTAACTTTTAAGCAATATGGTTTGTTATTTTATTTCCTCCCCCAAACATCCCCTCTAAAAGAAAAAAAAAAGAAAAAAGAAAAAAGAGAAAATAATCAACAATCTTCCACTGATAGCTTAAAAGGCTGTATGGACCAAGCCAATTGTGATTTATTAAACAAGTCAACATTAAGATTATTATTGGTTAACACAATGTGTGAAGATACTCATCTCCATTTCTTCTGACCTTCCAAAACAAAATTTGTGTTTTGGAATCTATTTCAAATCCTCAAACTTCATGTTTTTTTCTCTTTGATCATTTCTTTAAATATACTGCAGGAATATTTAAAACTCCCTTTGTTTTTTCAGAACACACTGTTGCTTCCAGCAGAGGGCACTGCATTGAAAAAGCTTTAAATTCTAGCATTCTCATCCAGAGACCATTAACCCTGATCTTTCAGGTTTTTTTGTCTTGCATATTTGCAGCAGGGTAAAGCAATACAGAGTTGCAGTAGGTTTAGTTATTGGATTTAGAACTCGTCAAAACAGTAAATCAAGCATACTACATAGGGTTTACCATAGAAAGATTATTTAAAATAGTTATTTACATAGGAGAAAATATAAGTGTAAATCTCCTTATATAGCTAAAATCAATCCAATCCACTCTTCTCTTGTCCTGAATACAAAAGTAATGTTCCAAAGCAATTCTTTTCTTCCAGCCAAGCATCACCGCTGATTAAAATCTGAGAAATTCATGCTCATGGAAGTCTGAGATTGCATCAGAATACATCAATTGGATTTTAGCCGTGCCCACAGTGAAAATAAACAAATAGAACAGTTGCCCAATATTGGAGGCGTCTGTACAAAAATACTTTTGAAACATAAAGGGTTGGAGGTGGGTGGGAAAATGATTCTCTTCTCTCCAAAGAATCAAAATGATCTGTTGTACTATTTCATAAGAATACATTCGCTTACGACAATCCAAGACACACTAAGCTTATTGCTGCTCATTCTTTAAATTGGACTAGTATCTCTCTCTCTCCCCTCCCCAAGTGTGTGTGTGTGTGTGTGTGTGTGTACTTTTGTCTTTCTCAACTACCAACTCCAGGAAGTGCTGTACTAAGATTCTTTTCTAAAGAAACAATGGAAACAGTTCCTAAAACGTTACATAAGGAGGAGGCCCATCTAAAGTATGGTTAGTCATTTGAAATAATTTTATGGACTCATGCTTTTCATTCAAGACAGTAAATGTTATTGGTTAAAGCATAATTTCAAAGGTCATTCCAACAATAGGGATTTCCCCCACCCACCCTTATTCCATGGATAAAAACAAAATAAAGAGAGCAGGAAATGTACTCATCTATTTTTTAAAAAATGGAGAAGTTTCCAATGTCTACCTACCAATAAGTCTCTCAAAAACAACCCTCTGGATCAGACCCCAACCCATCCTAGTTCAACATTTTGTTTCTCACAATAGCCAGCAAGTTGCCTTTAGGTGCTCATAAATTTAAAAAGGCTTAGAACAGTTTTCAAATTCAGTCTGCAGCCAGGGAGAGTGGGGTTTCAATAAGAGAACAGTTTGTAGCTCAGTGTTGAAAACTCTGGAGTCCTTGGTGTTTCCTGGGCTGAGTTGTTTTCTTGCAAATGCTTCATTACCCAATTAGCTAACTTCCTCAGAGCACTGATGATGTTAGCAAGCTAGGTAATGAAAGTCCTCAAGAAAACAACCAACTCCAGAGAGCATCAGGATTCCACAACATGGGGTTTGTAGTACTGAATACATGGGAATGATAGCCTGTCTGTGCGTGCATTTTAGGAATTTATTCTTTACAGGGTTTCCCCCCCACACACACCAGAACTGTCCCTGCTCAGATACACACACACACAGGTAGTCCTCGACTTATCCCCAGAATTGAGCCCAACTTTTTTGTTGCTAAGTGAAATATTGGTTAAGTGAATTTTGACCCATTTTACAACCTTTTGTGCCACAGCTGCTAAGTGAATCCCTGCAGTTGTTAAGTCACAGGGTTGTTCAGTGGACTTCCCCATTGGCTTTGCTTGTCAGAAGGTTGCCAAAAGGGGGATCAACATGACCCCAGGACAGTGCAACCGCCATACATATGAGTCAGTTGGCAAGCATCCTAATTTTTGACTCTGGGGATATTCCACAAACTTCCCCATAGTGTGAAAAACAGCCATAAATCAGTTTTTTCAGTGCGATTGTAACTTTGGTCACTAAATGAACTCTCATGAGTGTGTGTGTGTGTACACACACACACACAAGCAAGTGGGTCGCATTTCCCTGGGGAAAAAAAGGGGGGACGGGCATCCGATGTGTTTTGTTCGATTTGTTTTGTTCCCCAGCTAACTCCTCCCTGGCAGCGGTGCCTGCCAGGCTGCTCCTGGGAGGGTTAGTCACACCTGAGCGCCAAGAAAGCGCTCCGAAGTAGTTAAGGAAGAAAGAAAAGGCTGAAGAAAAGGCCACTTCTCGCTTCGGTTTAAACAAAACAGGATATGCAAAGAGGGCAAGCCGAAACTTCTCCAGCCCCTTGGGCGGGACCGAGCGCTTCCCGCTCCTCCTCTCCCATCTCATCAGGAGGCGGCGAAACGCGAAAGCAACTCCCGCGGCAGGTTGCAAACTAGGCAGAGAAAGTGAAGAATGAAAAAGCTATTAAATGAGAGGATCGAGGCCCGCCGACGCGAGGCAGAATCCCGCCGCGTTGCCCGGCTTTGGGCGGGGGGGGAGGGGGACTTGAGGCGCGTTACTCCGAGGATCGCAATAGGCGGGTTGCGTAAAGGAGCATCTCTAAAGCTGGGGCATTTCTGGGTATTCGTCCCGGAGCCCTCGTTGAATGGATGGTGATGTCCGCTTCGATTTCTCGAAGAGAGAGAGAGAGAGAGAAGGAAGTCCTTTCCCGGCCGCTAGTCGTGGCGTGAAACCACGTTTTTCTCTCCCTTCGGTTATTATTTCAAAGTTTTATAGCCGCAGCCAACCATTCCGCAATCACAAGCAAAATGCCAACTCCGAACCTGAGCCTGGATAGCAAAGGCCGGTCCACATTTGGGGAGGAGTAGGATTTAGCGCTGGGCAAACTGAACGCAGAGTAGAAGCCCGTTGGAGTCGCTCTCCCAGTGAATCTGCGCACGTTGCTTAACGGCAAGCCCCCCCCCCCGCTTTCACACCAATAAATCTCGATCTCATTCCGAGTTTTAACTCCGGGTAGCCCCCTCCCCTCCATTGAAAATGCCACTTGAGACCACATACAGTCAAAGACTTTAGTAAAGCTTAACACTTTAGTAAAATCAGGTAGGAACTTTCCTCCCTCCTTCCAATCCCTTCGCCTTCTTCCGGGCAGCCCCCCACGGAAATCACCGGGGCGATCGGAGGGCGGTCGAATAGCGGGGCTGCATTTGAACAGCCGTCTTGCGCCGCGTCTCTCCGGGTGTGCGCTGACCGACCGAGCGTCTTCCTTCCCCGCGAGGAACCGCGAGCAAGGACGCGCGGGGCCGGGTAGCCGAGCTCCAAGAGACCGACGCCACAAGTGGTTGCGCTGAGCCGCGCTTGCTACGCTCGTTCGAGCCAAGGCGAAGCCGCCCAGGGGGGCTTTCTCGGGACGCGGCTCTTGAAGGAAAAGCCGGGAAAAGGGGGAGAGGGATGCCAAGAAGAGGAACTACTTTTATCGCGGCGTTACTTCTTCGCCTCGCCACCGGTCCGCTTGTTTACAGCTTTGCAGAAAGGGAAGGTCGGGGGGGGGGCGGGAGAGAGATTGACTCCTTCCTTATCCACGGAAGGATGGAAGTCGAGCAGTTCGCCCCACCTAAAGGCGCGGCGGCGATGAGAATTCCCCCCTCGCGCCCCCGGTTCGGATCTTTAAATCGGCTCCGGATGCGTCCAGGAGGAAACATGCCCGGGCGGGTCCCGCGGCAAGCGCAGCGCGCATCGGGGGGGGGGGGGTCGCTTTGGCCACCCATCCAGCCGCCCACTCACCCCCGGTGCCCAGCGCTGCCACGCCGGCATCACTCACCGTCCTGCGAACGTCGGGGCAGAGCGAAGCTGGACGGCGGCTACTGAGGTAGGTTGGCAGGGCGGCGGTCCCCTCAGTCCCTTCAAGGCTCCCTGTTGCGTCGGCCCGTCTCGGCTCCCGGCTGAGTCTTTTGTTGTTATAGAATCCAGCGAACAGCTGATCGGCAGGGGCCGTCCCTGGCCCCGCCCCGCCCCGGCCCCCCCACTTTCCCATCCCATCCTGGGCCGAGCGTGTATGTATCTCTCTCTCTGCGTGTGAGAAAGCGCGGGGGGGGGGGGGGGGGATGAGGGACGGACAAGCGGCTTCGGCTGCGCACCAATGTGAGCCTGGGCGGTGTTCGGGGCCGCGCCGAGACAGGCTGTCACTAACGCACGTGATCTGGCCCTTCGCTTGCGGAATCGAAGCAAGTTCCGAGAGGTTGCAAGCCCGAACAACAAAAGGAGTTGAGGACGAAGTATAGTAGGGAGAAGTTGTGGGAGGGAGAAGGAAGAGGACAATTCGGGAGGAGGGGAATGGGGAGGAGGGGGTGGGGGTGGGGACAAAGGGATGAAAGGTGGCGGAAAAGAAGAAGCGACGGCCGGGTGGAAAAATACAGAAGAAAGGGAAGAGGAAAAAAGGACCGAGTGATAGGCTGGAAATGTTCCAGCTGTTCTGAGGTTGAGTAAACATCTGGGCACGGAGGAGCCTTTTTCAATGTAATTCCTAAGTTTTTATCTCCTCGATTCTCAGGCTCTCCCCCACACAAGGACCTTTATCTCTCCAGTTCTCACATATCTCTGAGCTTAGCCCTCAGATGGGAATCAGGAAATGGTGCTCTTGGTTTAAGAAGGTGCCAGTCTCTTTCAGAGTGGCGAGTTCCCACCCGTACTTACGTCTCCATTCATCACAAGTCCATACACTGTTTTTATAGTTGCCAGCAACATTATTCCTGGACATATTCCTTACTTATGTATATATCACTTGTTTCTCAACCTCAGCAACTTTTAAAATGTGCGGACTTCAATTCCCAGAACAACAGCCAGCTTTTAAGATACCGTAATTATGGACTTCAACTCCCACAATCTTCCAACCAGCATGCTTACTAGGGAATTCTGGGAGTTGGTCTACACATAAAGTGCTGAAAAACACTGATTTAAATCACTAATCCTCTATGTAAACTGGTTTTAAAGAGTTTGAAAGCAAATAAAATATTGAGTGACCAGATATTATACTCGCATTGAATAACTTCACTGATTTGCAGTTTTAAGTACAATTCAGAGGTGTACGGTACTCTGATTCATACACAAAAAATAATTTCTAAATACTAAATATGCATGTCAACAATGTGTCTTCATTATATGGTAAGCTATAATAGAGATTGATTGTGACTTACTATGGACAAGGGAAACAGCATAGAATTACAGTACGGTATATTGTGCCTTCCTTGTTAAGCCATATTAACAAGCCATTTTAGATGTGCTAAGCAAAGTACGACCACAACTTCAGTCCAAAACAGCCAACTTTTGCTGACCTTTGCAGCAAAGGATATATATGGACGGGACTAAAAAAATGTCAAAGTGGCCACAACAGTGCCATCAAAATATTGCCTCTTTTTATATTCATCGCACATGTGGCATACATAAAAGAGGAACACAACTTCTATTCTGGACTCTTGGTTGAGTTTCTATTGGGGACTTTTTTAACCTGCTCCCCTGCCCTCAAATAGAGGTACCTGCCTTACTATGAACGTTATGAACCCTAGTTCACAGGCTGATTATGTCAAGCAACTAGCATGTATTCCCCCACAAATATAAAACAAAAGTGGAATTTGAACCAAGCTGTCCACATACGTCAAATCACAATTGATAACATCTGTTAGTTTAACCAAGGTGGAGAATAGTTATATTCGTAATGCAGACATTTATAATTTGGTGGTTAGGTTTGTATTATAAGCTGAGAGGTAAATTAGATGGATAGATCTACAGATAGATCTAAATGAGCAGAGTAATAAGTAATATAAAAACACTTTTGCTTAATTGGCATCCAGGATGTGGACAGAGTTTTACACCTCGTGTCTAGATTGTTGGTGATTCTGTTTTCATACTGGAAATCAGTATGGTGGAAGTGGTTAAATTACTGGATTGAAATAACAAAGACTCGGGTACAAACCTATCCTAGCCATGGAAACACTGAGTGACTTTAGGCCAGCCATAACTCTCAGCCCAACCGACCTCACAGGTTTTTTGTTAAGAAGAAAAATGCAGGAGGATGTACAGTACTTTGAGTTCCTGGAGGAAAGATAGGATATAAATCTAATATTATAAAGTCATTTACCTAAGATATTGGGTTCGGTTGGTTTAGCTTGAAGAATAAATTGACAATACTTATTTTTGCAGTCTGCAAGGTTATGTTGTAAGGTCTTTGTCCTGAATAGAAGAAATTTTAGGGGTTTTCTTTTCTGAAATTATTCTTCAATATATATTTGCACCAATGACTCTTGAGGAGATAGACATGGTTCTAGGTGCTATCAGTTGAGCCACTTTTTTTTTCTGAACCCAAGGCCCTCCAAGATTGTGAAAATGCCCTGGGAGATGAGCTACATTTGGGTTCATCCTGTAGTGACAGGCTCTTTGAAGAAGGGGGTAGTGATGGTGCAACTTCTCCTAAAGAGACTGTCCTTGGGCCCATGGTTTTTGATAACTATCATCCTGTCTCCAAGCTTCCATTTTTTAGGGAAGGTTGTTGAGCAGGTGGACTGAGACACCCTAGAGGAACAGATTTTCTGTACCCATTTCAGTTAGTTTCACAGTGGATTTAATACAGAGACAGTCTTGATCATGCTAGATTATCTGTGGTGAGCCAGAAAGAGTGGATATACCCATCCCTGTGCTCCTTCCTTAATCTCTCACCAGCTTTCATTCCATCAACTACAATATCTTTCTGCATTGGCTTCAGTGGCTTTTACAGTGATTCTCTTCCATCATCCAGCATTATCCTGTCCATGGTTACTGGTAGAATATCGTCAACTACGTGGTCCATAGCCGCTCAATCTTCTGGAATTGAATCGGAGATGGTTGCTCTTCATCAAAACCTGCAGAGCCTCCAGGCATTAGGAAAGGACCACAGCAGCCTCTCTTGGCCTGCTTCGGGTCGAAATATAAGTATCGTCATCATACTGTTGATCCCGAAGTCCAAACTGGCAAATGATCTCAGACCAGCAGTTTCACGTAGGAGGGGAAAGACAATTGAGTCTATGGTACTCCACAAAGGAGAGGCCTAGTCACATCACAACTTGATTACTACTGTATACTCTACATGGATTGTCCTTGAAGACCACCTGGAATCTTCAACTGAGCAGAACACAAAGGCATGTACAACAATGGTCAGGTGACATCCATGCTTGGTGAGCTGCACTGATTATCAGTGTGCTTCTGGTGTGACTCGTGCTGATTATGGCTTATAAAGCCCTACATGCCATAGGGCCTGCTAACTGAGGAGCCATCTGTCTCCTGTGATACCAGCCCTGCCAGTTTGATCTGACAGGTTGGCACGTTCCAGATTTGTTTGAACAAATGATCCAGACCTTAGTGCCCTCTGAAATAAGGGTCCTCCAGAGAATCAGATGATAACATTCCAGTGGGCCTTAAAAATTTGGCTCTTCCAGATTTTAGGCTAAGAGTACTAAAGCCCCTTGTAGTGTGACTATATGTCCCTCTTAGCTGGATTCATCATTGTATTCATTGTTTATTTTATCTGAATTTCAAATTTCAAATTGTTTTTTATGCTGTGAGCTGGCCAGAGTCAAATGTATCCAGGTTGAATACAGTACAATACATAATCCTTTTAACTAAAGAACCGCCAACTGTTAATGAACATCTCTTTAAGTGTACATAATTTATGCTACCATTGGAGGCCCATTTATATCACAACATTGTTTCTTAAAGACTTGGGTACTCAAGAAAGGTCTCTTTGATATGATCATCTTAATCACAGACTTTCTTTCTGAGATAGATAAGATTGCCTCTTCCTTGTTCTCTTTCAATAGCTAGTTGGGGTTATGAACATGTTAACAACCTGTGATTAGATCATTTAACCTCACTCTGACATTTGACTGCATGTTTTTTAATCCTCTGTTTCTTGATTTTATATTAAGCTTTAATTGATCTCTGTAGGTAGAGGGCATAATTTATGTTAAATGATTTAATGTAAGTTTAATAAGTTTATTAGTGCAAATGTAGGGAGCCTTGTAAATCTGTATGTGAAAATTATAATGCTTTTGTTTTATGCTGTCCTTCTGCTTATGCACAAACACCAGCAGGGGCTGTTAGTCCTTGAAAGAATAATTGCAGCTTGATGTGCCCTGACTTTCAGTGGCCTTTGTCCTGTTTCTATATCATTTGGAACACAGCTGTGCAGTGCTAAGAAGGTTTTTTAAAAACACAACTGAATACTACAGTGTCCTTGAGATATTATATTTATCTACACAGAAGCCCACAGAGTAGAAGGTGTGAGGCAAGCTTAGCATTAGAAGTTTGAATTGCAACTGGAATGTAGTATCTATCATTGAACAGAAGAAATGCAGAAGTACAGAAAAGTTGGCTTCTCACTTTAGGACAATGGTAGGTTGACCGGAAGAGAGAATTGGTGAAAGAACAAGCCAAGATGCCTAAAGCCTGCTTGGTTGTAGTACATTTTCATTTGTAATAATTGATTTTATAATTACTGTTTTTATATATTTGTTGTTTTTATTGATTGTGGTACAGTGCCCAGAGTCCCTTCTGTGAAATGGCCAGCCATATAAATGTAATAAAGACAGCAATTTAGATTTGTCCCAATGTATTTCAAGGGAATTTTGCTTCCGATTATCAGTAAAGGCTTAGAAGGTATTTGAGTCTCAGTCTTGAATATTATATTATCAGCATACAGCATCAAGCATGGCCTTCTACAACCAAGGGAAGGGAAGCGGCCTTTGATGCAGTTTAGAAATGATGGCAGATCATTAAGATAGAAATTAAATAGCATTGAGGTGAAAATGCAGCCTTGACACGCATCCTCATTCATAGGGATAAAGTTTCTACGATCACCATCATTACAACATCTTATTTGCAATTAACTATTTTTGTACAGAGCTCTGTCTTTGTACAGAGATTATTAGAAGGACTAATCTCTTGTCAA